CACACACACACACACACACACACACACACACACAGAAGGAAAGTCAGGAAAGAAAACCTGTAATCCAGTGAGTCTTATTCAGCTGAAATTCTTTTTATTGATTGATAGCCATTAAGCTGTCCACCTCATCCCCAGCACAGAGCTCTGCACTGGGCAGAAGTCACTGGCCAGGGAACAAAACAAGAAAAGACCCCTGTTTCCCTGGGCAGTGACAGATGATACAGGAAAACATTGAGATCAATTCAGTCTCAGTTTGTTTAAGCCCCAAACTGAGCAACACTGAAGTCAGAAGAGGTCCGAGAGGTCTGCAGGGCTGTCAGGACCCCAGGGGCTGCCGCTGCTGGACTGCTTCCTTCATTGAGGCCCGGAGCCAACCAATTAAGCTGCTTGGGATTGACTGAAACTCAGCTGATTTTGTTTTAAGGGTGTGTGTGTGTGTGTGTGTGTGTGTGTGTGTGTGTGTGTGTACACGCATGAGCACATACTTATTGTGAGCTTCCAGACATGAATATTAGTCAGAAAACCCAGGTCCTCTGCCAAAGAAGCAGTGTTCTCAACTGCTGAGCCGTCTCCCCAGCTCCTCAGCTGTTGGTTTTTAATGTTGCCTGGGGTGTTTGTTTCTGTTTGTTTGCTTGTTGAGGTGTTTTAATTTCATTTTATGTGTGTGTGTGAGTATTTGCCTTCATGTACGTCTGTGTATCACATGGATGCAGCCCCTGGAGTCCAGAAGAGGGCATCAGATCCTCTTGAAACTGATATTATTGTTAGCTGCCGTGTGGGTGCTGGGAATTGAACCCAGGTCCTCTGCAAGAGCACTGAGCCACCTCTTCAACCCCCTTGTTCTTTGCTTTGTTTTTATAAAATATTCTCGTAAGAGGTTGTCATTTGTCCTTGTCGGTTAGGGCAGAGCTCAGAACACCCAATCAGCCTTAACTTAAGGCAGGCAGTAAACAACGTAACAAGGTGGTATTTTTAGGAAAACAAACTGGGTCAAGGGAGGAAGAGGCATGGGCTTGGAGTGGCGGTGAGGGCAGTGGTCAGCAGCCTAGATTGGGTGTGGGAACAAGTCTTGCTGCTCAGTGGTATCATCATGGTGAAGAACTGCCTGCAACTAAGACCTGAATATAAACAGTGAGGACACATTAAGGCCACTGTGAGAGTCGTCAGAGCTTCATTCTGTAAGCAAGGGTGAGAGGGAGGTGAGGAGATTACGTGTGCGAGCGGTGGAGAGATGATTGTGAGAGCAGGCTCAGTCCCTGAAGAGGACCACCTAGGAGGATGGAGATGGTAGCGGAGCAGACAGAGGCGGCTGAGGTAATCAGATACGCTCTGGAGGGGAGACAGGACTGGTTGGTGCCCTCAGGAATGCTGGGAAGGCATCATGATTGAGGAAACCCCCGAGATGAGACAGGAAAGGGCAGCCCCAGGAGGTTTCCCAGAATTCTGAGGGGCGGGAGGCGGGGTGGCTAGCACAGGGGCAGCCGCGCAGCATGAGGGGAGGCCAGAGGACAGCACGGTGAGCATGAGAGCCTTTCAACATCTGGGCGCCGACAGCCCAGCAGCGTCCTCCGAGGGTGTCTGTCACCGGGCTGTGACGTTGTCCTCACCACAGTGTTCCGTGCATGCCCACTTACTGTCAACCCACAGCCTACATGCTGTTTAATGGGGAGGTTACCTAATGCCCAGAGCGCCGTAAGCATCTTCTTCAGCCGCCCCTCCTTGTTTGTCCGACGGCATGACAAGCAGATGTCCTCCAACAGAGTGGAATATGACTCGTGTGGCTTTTCTTCCTCTTTAAAGACCCAGCCTCCACTCTGGGATTGGTGAATGGTGCCCTCATCGCCATCGGCTGCCTCGCCATGCTTGTCACCATGGTAACCATCTTGCTGTACAAGTGAGTTTCTGGTCTTAACACTTTATATCTCTGTGATGGATAGTGAAAAGCAAAGAGCTTTCTTCTGGGTGAGAGTGCCAGTTTCTTTTCCCTTCGAAATGTTTTGTGTATCCGAAGAAATGCATACATTGAACCACAGATAACAAACTAGGACCTATTAATTTTACTGCGGTGTTGGACTTGTTTGTTTTAATCCTGCTACCAGAGGTCAGTAACTTGAGAAAATTGTTTCTTTGTAATGTTTAAGATCTCAAAGTGAGTGCTTCTTGCTTGAAGAGAAAGTAGCTATACTCCCCTAAAATGCTTGTCTGTGGCTCGCGATAGGCAGGGTTGAATGAAGCAGCTCTTTTGCCCCTGCCATGAAAAATATTGTCAAGGGGACTGGAGAGATGGCTCAGTATTAAGAGCACTGTCTGCTCTTCCAGAGGTCGTGAGTTCAATTCTCAGCAACTGCATGGTGGCTTACAACCACCTATACTGGGGTCTGGTGCCCTCTTCTGGCAGGCAGGTGTACACGCAGTCAGAGCACTCAAATACATAAAGTAAATAAGAAACCTTTAAGAAAGAAAGATGCTGTGGAAAGAAATTTAGTCGCGCTGAAGATGTTTTTAAAGTCCTATCCAACACATTATTTTCAGAAAACACAAGGTATACAAGCCAATTGGAAAGTGCCCCGGCATCACCGTCAAAGGCAAAGGCCTGAGTGTTTTCCTCAGGCACACAAAAGCTCCATTCTTCCGGGGAAACCAGGAGAAGGATCCACTGCTCCAGGGCAAGCCGGGAATGCTGTAGGTCTTCAGCCTACAGTGACCAAGAGCCCGCTCCTCCGTCCACTCCTCCGTGCATTTGCATAAGCTGTGCAGGAGTACAGGAGGGTGAGCTCCAAGGACTGTTTCCTAAGGATTATTGTAAAATACATATCATGACTTAGGGAGCTTAGTTAAACAGCATTTTAGAGAAGAGATGGGCCGATTTAGTGTTTCCTCCCATTTGTATCGTGGTTTTTACACTGTTAGTAGGATGGGCACACTGTGTCTGGAGAGTGAGGGAGAAGTCATTGCTCCAGAAGGTCCTAGGTTAACTGGGAGAGGAGGCTACATGCTTCCCAGCTCTGCACATAACCATGTGCATGAACCCAGCTAGTCCTGACCTGAAGACTACACTTCATCTAACTGTATCCCGGATCACTGAACATGCCTGAGCCGCTGACTGAACGACGATGGGCCCGAGCTTTTTGTATGTTATGTGTGTACCATGTTATACTCATTAAAGAGACAATCTAATAAGCTGGTGTGATTATTAAATTGGTGTGAAAAATTTTCCTGTGTAGTTGAATGAAGTACTCGATGAAGTACTCGTCCATTCATTTGTCCATGGACATTTACTTGGCGCTTTCTGTATACCAACCTTGATGCCAGAACTGGGCTCTGCACTCGGAGTTGGTGCAGTTACCCGCACACCTGGCTCTTGGTGCGTGCTGGTGTGCTATGGTTTTCTAAGGGACGCCACTTCTTTTCCTATCTGTTTCCGTGTTAAAATTGTACAGGTTATAGTCAACGAAGGCCTCACCTCTATGTGTAACTAAATTCCCGTGCCATCTGCTAGGAACGACATTCTTTTTTTTTTTCTCCTCCCAGAAAAAAAAATGTGGGAAGGGATGAGCCCTTGGTGGTGGTATGATTTTTCTAATGTCTTGTTTGCTTTTCTACTTTGTTTATAATTTTTGAACATAAAAAGTCCTTTAATGCCACCCCAAGAAGCAATGATAATCTCATAAAGTTTTTAGATTTATTTTCTGTTTGTGAGTGTTTTGCCTTCATGGATGCATTAGCACCTATGTGCCTGGGTCTATGGGAGTCAGAGGAGCGTTATATGGAACTGGAGTGAGGGATGGTTGTGAGCTGCCATGTGGGTGCTGGGATCTGAACCTGGGTCCTCTGAAAGAGGAGCCAGTGCTCTTAACCTCCGAGCCATCTCTGCATCCCCAATATTTTCTACTTTAAGAGATGGGTATCCTGGCTCATGCTTTTTGTTTTGTTTTGTTTTGTTGAGACAGGGTTTCTCTGTTTAGCCTTAGATGTCCTGGACTTGCTTTGTAAACCAGGCTGGCCTTGAACTCACAAAGATCTGCCTGCCTTTGCCTCCCCAAATGCTGGGATCACAGGCATGTGATCTGGCTATGATGACTGGCTATGATTCAGGCCTTTAATCCCAGCATTTGAGAGGTACAAGAGGACCAGGAGTTCAAGGTCAGCCTCTCCTACATAGTGAGTTTGAAGCCAGCCACAGTTACCTGGAACCTGTTTCAAAAACATACATACATACATACATACATACATACATACATACATACATACATATGTGTATGTTTTTATTTAAAATTTAATGTATAAGTGTGTATAATCAAACCTTTATAAAAGAAGAATTTGGAGCCAGAGAACAACACAGCAGTAGAGTGCCTGCCTAGTTTGTGCAAAGGCCCTTAGTTCTATTTCCAACACACACACACACACACACACACACACACACACACACATACACACACACACAAAGAAATTTAATTAAATAAGGGAGGTTTTTTTTTAATAAAGAAGAGGCTTTTGTTTTTTATTCTTCACAGCCAACATCATATTAGAAATAAGGAAAAGTGTCTAATTTACAAGTTGGCAAACTTTTTCTATGAAGTTTGCAAATAGTTTTGTGTATAGATAGTTTCTGTCAAAATTACTGCAGCATGAAAATAATCAGAGATGGAGCATAAATGAATGAATGAGCAGAGCTACCTTCCACCAAAAACCTATGTCAAAAGCATTTGACCCACGAGACATAGTTCGTTCTACACCAGCAAAGACTTATTTTTAACAACAACCAACTGATATCTGAGAGTCCAGGTTGGATTTACCTTGATGGAGCTGGGAAAAGCCCTGAACAATATTTTAGGGACAACTGGATAAATGTGATTACACCCCCAAGTGCTAGGTGGTATTATAGAATAATAATTCATTCTGAGACATTGTGAGGGACCAACATTCAGTCTGTTACTTTTGACCCCTATGTGGTCTAGAAGTTAAAAAGAAGCTTTGTGTTTGGAAATTGTCTCCGAAGAATGCAAAACTTGGGTAAGTGACTGGCCCCGGATTCAGGCGCTTGCCTTTGCAAGCCCGCTGGCGACATAGTGGGGTACATGCCTGACGAGAAGCTGCGGCTGCAGGAGCTGAGGAGGCGATGGCTGAAGGACCAGGAGCTGAACCCCTGGGAGCCCAGTTGCCCCCACACAGTGTGGCCCCTGGAGAGATTCTGGAATAACTTTGCAGGCGGGCCCTGTGGGAAAATGTGATCTGGGAGGTATACCAGTTCAGTCTCTTTGCTGTGTCTTCTGGTTTATTCACTATTAGTCAAATATCATGTGGCTACAGAACCATATGCCATTGTTGACAAGAAGCCCAGAATATTCCCAGGTGATGCAATTCCAGAGACTGGAGAAGTAATTCCACCAATGAAAGATTTTCCTGATCAGCATCATTGAAGAGCGCTTAAAAACTTAAAAGATTTGCCTAACAGCACAAGTATGTTCCTAAAGTGCTGTAGTTACTGAATCTATTTCCTAGAAAAGTAACCCATAAAGCTTATTTCCAGGAGGCAAAAAAAGAATGCAAAAATTGCTGGCCACCTATTTATGTGATGGCTATAGCACAGGGACTGTCAGCCAGGGGGATGTTTGGCAGTGTTTAGAGAGATTTGTGGTTGTCACAACTAGAGTGGGGTGCTCCTGGCATCTAGTGGGGAAAGCCAGGGCTGCTGAATGCCCTGAACCTGCAGGACAGCCCCACAGCAAAGAAGCCCTGTGGCAGAACAACTGAAGAAGTCCTGGACATCCGAACAGAAGCCATGGATCTGAACTTAAAACCAAGCAGCCTAGTGACATCATGCTTTAGGAGGCTCTCCCTCCTCTGTCTCAGCTGTGGAATGGGTACAATGTCCCTCTCTAACTTACTTCACAAGGATGCTACAGATCCATCTGCAAAAACTAATGCAAACAGAGCAGGGGAGATAGATGCACAGTTGTGGAACCTAGCATGCCGGTGGTCCTAGACTTGACTCTCACCAATGGGGAAAAAAATGAAGGTAAAGGCACTTTTGGTATAATCTAGTGTTATACATTGCATGTTGAGCCTGAGGACAGGCCTGTAGGGGTGCCGTGTGTGTGTGTGTGTATGTGAGAGAGAGAGAGAGAGAGAGAGAGAGAGAGAGAGAGAGCCAACCTAACGAGCCAGATCATTAGTACCTAAAACAGAACAGCAATGTTTCAGACTGCAGCAGAATCTAAACACTGCCGTGACACACCCTCATGGCTTCTAAGGTGGTCTTGTGGACCTACAATTTGTGGTTCTACAATTTGGAATTCTAAAAAGCCTACAGGGGATCCTAGTACTGCTGGTTCCAGGACATGAGCAAGATTGGGCGAGGAATCTGCTCTTTCTTTCTCAAATCACCAGGGGGCAGCAGAGAACAGCAAATACATAACGGTCACCAAATGGTCCCTGCAGCTTCAGCTAGCCAAACTTTAATCCAGCAAATAACAGGAAAGAGGTATGATATAGTAAATTGTGTCGATTTCTATTTTCCAAGAGACCCTGAGGAGAAGTCATTTAACCTCTTCTAAGGGCACTGTCTGCAAAATGGAGAAAACAGCTTAAGAGATAGTGGGATGGCTTGATTGATGTTGGACTGAGAATTAAAACTTCCCCAAAAAGGTGAGTGTGTAGCTAACAAATTATTCAAGGAATCTCTTATTCCTAGGGCATTTTATAAATGTCTGCATCCTAAGCGCCTCTGAGTCACTCATACAGATTGTTTTACCTGGGTTGAAATTTCCATGATGTAAAAGTTTGAAGGTGATGTGTTCATGGTACCCATTACACACAGAATGCTCAAAACTTTTAAGGTCCAGTGACAAAGAGCAGATGAGGAGACAGTCATCCAGAGAATGAAGGTGACCTCCTTTTGGTGGGACCCTGGTGGGGGAACAATCTTTGACAGTTTAGTGGTTGTCATTGTTGAAGAATGCTTTCAATGCTGCTGGATAGGTGCCCTGAAATTCAGTGATCCACTGCCAGGGCTTGCCGCTTGCAGGGGGATTTTCATCATCTAATCATCTTTTATCGAATGCTAGGGTGCCTCTGGGTCTAGGACAAAGAGATGATAAGGGACACGAGGACAGAGTGTGTGGGGCTTAGACTCCAACACGGCATGCCACTGTGCATGAGGTCACTTCAGTGACCCCACTGACTGGCCACTGGCCTCAGCTTCACCCACAAGGGCAACCTTTGATTACCGTCAATAGCCATCCCCTTTATCCTCAAGATTCTCCGGCAGAAACCAGCTTAGCGCTCTGCCATGGGCCTTGAGGTCATCCGAATGAGAGCAGGCCCCATCTGCTCATATATTTAAATGCTTGGCCCCCGGTTGGTGGCTCTGTTTGGGAAGAATTAGGAAGCGTGGCTTTGCTGGAGAAGGTGTGCCACTGAGGGGGTGGGTTCATGCCAGGCCCAGTCTCTTTTTTTGCTTTCCTGTCTGTGGCTAAGGATGTAAGCTCTCAGCCCCATGCCAGCCTGCCATCATGCTTCCTGCCACCGTGATCATGGACTGTAAGCCAGCCCCTAATTAAATGCTTTCTCCTATGAGAGTTGCCTTGGTCACGGGGACTCTTCACAGAGACAGAGCAGCAGCTCAAACAGGCCGCTTAGTACTTGCAATTTTTAGCCTGTTCTTCACTTGCTCTCACAGCGTCACTCTACTGATCAAAGTGCCGATCACACTCAGAGTGTAATCGCGCTGTTCATTGCAGCTGCACAGACGTGAACAACGCAAACATCAAAACTTGAGTTGAGTGAGTCCGTGCTTCGAATGTGTGTGGGATGAATTCGGCTTCCCTGAAGAGAGAGCAGTTGTTGATGAGCCTGTGGCGGGAGGACTTTGTGGTTGTGGAGAGAACTGTAAAATCTGGCGTGGAACGGAATGCGTGTAGGAAAGTAGAGAGGGCTGAAGGGGAAAGGCCTGTGCTCCAGCGTGACATACACCGTCACTAGCAAGGTGCCCGGAAGACCATCCCAGCGTCTCTGCCCCTCATCTATCAAATGGAGGAGGGGGAGGCCACTTCTGAGTCCTCAGGTTCTGATGCTCTCCTGTGGAAAATGAAGACAGAGTTAGCTGTTTCTCCACAGAGACTCCGGGAGGCTGATTCTCTACATCAGCCAGACTCCAGTTTCCCTGCCAAAGCCACCCTCCTGCCCATAAGAAGCACAGTTGTAATACTTTTAAACGGTTAAGAGAAGAAAATGAAGGGTCAGAGCAGGATGTGTGGCTCAGGGGCAGAATTCCTGCCTAACCTGAGTGGGGTTTGGGGTTCCATCCCAGCACGGTAAGAAGGAGGCAAAGGAAGCGAAGCAGGAAACAGTGCTGTACACAACACTATAAAACAATCATCTGAAAAGCAGAGTTCAATGTCCATAGGTAAAGATTTGCTATTCTCTCTCTCCTTCTCTCCCCCCTTCTCATTTTCCTTCTCTCCTTCCTCCTCGTCTTCCCCACATACTTCCTTCTCCTCTTCCTTCCCATCCTCTACCAGACAAGATCTCACTATAGTCACTAGGCTCTTCGGATCTGAGATACTTTCCTCCCTGCCGCCCTTTACCTCCAAGGAGGTGCCTGAACAGCCACATTTCATCTCCCTGCTGCCTGCTGCTGCTCATCCGTTACAGCTGCACAGCCGGGTGCTTCCGACAGAGGATAAGGGGGCCGTCAACACCTGAGAATATTTGCTGCCTGATGCTCTGCAGAGTTTGCCCATCTGTGACCTAGAGCAGTTCTCAGATCCGAACTGCATTAGGAAAACAAGAACCACTCAGAGATCATCAAGTTATGCCACTTTCTCTCTGACAGGAGGACCCTAGTAACTGGAGAGAGCAGCAGATTATTCTAGAGCTGGAGTTACAGGCAGTTGTCAGCTGTGTGACATGGGTGCTGGGAACCAAACTGGGCCCTTCTGCAGAAGCAGTCGCCACTCCGGTGCCCAATGTGCCGTGTTCTTAATAAAGTTTTCAGGCAGTATGCCATGTCAATCATCTGATTGATCCTGTCGATCTGAATGGTAATGTGCTGTGTTGTGGAGGGAAAGCTAGAGCCCGTGAATTGTGGGCAGGTCTTCAAGAAGAAACAGCACAGGGCTGGAGAGGCTAAGAGCACTGGCTGCTCTTCCAGAGGACATGAGTTCAATTCCCAGCAACCACATGGTGGCTCACAACCATCTATGAGATCTGGTGCCCTCTTCTGGCGTACAGGTGTATATGCAGACAGAACACTGTATACATAATCTATAAATAAATCTTCAAGAAGGAGGAGGAAGAAGGAGGAGGAGGAGGAGGAGGGGAAGAAGAAGAAGAAGAAGAAGAAGAAGAAGAAGGAGGAGGAGGAGGAGGAGGAGGAGGAGGAGGAGGAGGAGGAGGAGAAGGAGAAGGAGAAGGAGAAGGAGAAGGAGAAGAAGAAGGTGGTGGTGGAGGAGGAGGAAGAAGAAGAAGAAAGAAGAAACAGCACCTGGGAGTCCTGCCAGGTGAAATCAAAATAGGGTGTCACCACCTTTCAACACGGGACTCGGGACTGAGCTAGCAGGAAACTAAGAGGATTCTTTCATGACCCCATCCCCACCCCCAAAAGACAACTCTACCCAACAGGAGAAAACCAGCAGCGAGCCAGAGTTTTCTCAGGAAGGGCAAACAGATAACCTAGGGGCCTAAAGTGTGGGCATCAAGACTCAGTCTTGGGTGCTGCAGAGTTGGCTCAGTGTTTAAGAGCACTGGCTGCTCTTCCAGAAGACCTGGGTTCAATTCCCAGCACCCACACAGCAATTAACAGGACTCTGTAACTCTAGTCCTAGGGGATCCAGTACCCTCCCCTGGCTTCTCTGCAGACTGCACACATGGCACAAAAGAAACATGCATGTAAAAATAAATAAAATCACACACACACTCACACACAAAAGACTCAGTCTTTGGGCTGAAGATCAGAAAATGAGGGAGCCTGGACAGAAGGGAAGAAACATCTTCCACCCCACCACTGTCATTCCCGACTCTCCTGCAGAAAGCCAGGGTCCTTAGTAACAACCTGGGGGGAAACAGAGGAAACCCACCCAGAGGCAGAGCACAGACCACTAGGTGGAGTGTGCCGGGGCCGGAGGCTGAGTGAGCAGAGTTCCCAACCAGGGGACTCTGAGCTCAGAATGAGGATTTACCTGGACTGCAGAGGTGCTTCAGCTGGTAAGACCCTCTCCCTCCAGGGGACTGGAGTTCAGTTCCCACACCAGGCAGCTCTAGGGGACCTGATGCCCTGCCCTGGGCTTTGAGGGGGCACCCGTGCAAACATGTAAATACAAATAAAAAAGAACTCAAGTTAACACAAAAAAGTAAGAGCAGCTCTGGATGCTTCTGTCTGCCTGGCAGAAGCCATGTGAACTTTCTCTGCAGTAATGCC